TGAGTGCTTGAACGTAACTTAAACTTAAATTGGCCAGTGGCCAAGAAGTAGTTGTCAAAATGGTCCCTATTGTAATCCCCGTATAACAAAGTTGCAGGGCTGCTTTGTAAGCTTACGTCTCTCGGCACATAGATGATGAGAGGGTTCATTTGTTGAACGTAAATGGCAGAGATGTAACCCGATGGCGGTTTTCTTTAATATGGTGCTTCTATTATGAAAACTTTGAACGAATGAAACTGAATATGAAAGCCTACGGACTGCTCTGTCGCCATTTAGGAAACAGGAATCCACTTCAGCTCCATGTAAATGTGAAAATCATGATGCTCTCTCTTTTTCCAGCTGGGATATGTATTTAGGCTGATAATTCAAAACCTTAACATGCATAATGTGTGGAAAATTTTCAAAAATTTCTCCTCGGTACGATATTTTGTTCTTAAAATCAATACGAACAAACAAGGTTTTTTCTAGAAGTTTCAGAGGATTGTCATAAAAAAATGTTGCACTATCAAAATGAAACGCAGTGGAGAAAAAACTTGTTAACTATCTCCCCTGTTACTATCCGTTAATTTTTCTCATTACCACCACACGAAAATGAAGTAACATGCATAGATATTTAGCATGAGCAAACAGCAGTACTTGCTAATGCCGGACCTTTCTTTGAAACCGAAAACTTCTAATTAGTTAGGTTTTTTTCGCAGAGGAATATCCGAAATTTGTTTTCCTAACAAAACATATTAGGGAAATAAATTTATAAAAAGAAATCGAGTTGTCTGTTTCTGGGATATACCACATTAGGGTACGGCACACGTCTTGTACATGCTACAGGGGGTTCCTCTAATTCAGAAGTGACGTAACAAAACACATAATTAAACTTCATACATTACCAGCCTTACATGTTGTACATCTAGTGGGTGTCTCACAATGTATAGTGCAATCAGACTCGCTCCTTTTTTGTACTGGGCCCATTTGTTTTGCACGCTCGCTTTTGTTACTGCGGATAAGTGCGCTGCGAGGCCCAATATAGCGCCTTTGCAACAGCGCCATCACTACCTGCAGCGCATACGTTATCCACTAATGTCTTTAATTTCCCAACACAATGTTGCCAAAATAAGACGCCCAGGTACTACGGCTGCAAATGTAACAGGAATTTCTTCCCGTATGAAAATCGATATTCTTAAACACCGGTTTTGCTTCTCCCAATTTTCACGTATTAATATAACATATTGTTTTAACCAGCCAACTTCTAAGTCTGTTTGCATCGTACTTACGGGATCAACAATTGTTCTCTGTTTTCGGTTGCAAGGTTCTCTGCATGTGTCTAAAAGCTGCGACAAATGGGTGCAAGGTGCAGTCGACTTGTTCCGACGGTTTTGTCTGTCTTGCAAGCATCTCCGGCAGCCGCGGAACATTTGTTTACATCCCCCTGTTATCTTACGGAACCGCCATTTCGGATGTGCTTTTCTTGTATAATTCGTGTTGACGCTGGAAGAGCGCGTGCGGCGCGCCGTTCGCCGAAGGTGCGCTCAGCCCTTGCCCCTTCTGCCCCGACCCTCCCCTTCCAGCCCCGCTCCACCCCGCCCCAGCCCCGCTCCACCCCGCTTCACCC